TTCAATGTAAGAAAAACGGGTGCTCTCAAAAATGCATTGTATCATAAGCTCCCCCCCGTATTAACCACCCATGGAGTGACTATTTCGGCGGGTGTTATATACAGGGGATTACGGTAGTACGGTATAAGAGCATTGGTGACTCGGGTTCAATTCTCAGTGCTAGCGTTGCAGGGGTGCTCGTGTCCTCCGCTTATCCCAACGAGGGGGGATGTCGAGAGACTCGTAGGGGTTACCCTTGAGAAGATTCTCGGGGAAGGGTCACAGGTACGAATGAGGGCCACAAGAGCCTGGGAGGCAATTGACGCACTGACTATTGAGCCTGGGAGGCTATTGAGCCTGGGAGCCTGGGAGGCTATTGACGCACTGGCTGTTGAGCCTGGGAGGCTATTGAGCCTGGGAGCCTGGGAGGCTATTAGCAAGCCATTTTAACTCAGTGGTTAGTGACTGGGTTCTGACCAGGGCTATCGTTATCAGGGTATTTTACCCTGATTCCATGATTTCACAGGGTTTTTTTTTTTGCCACCCCTTGATTTTCAAGGTTGGACTTTTCTTAACCCTAGCCCCTTCAGGGTTGTAAGTTTATGAACACTTGGGATTTCAGGGATTGCGTTATGCCAATGCTGAGTTTTCAGAGAGCAACGCGTACGAACCCTGAATGCGATTCCACAGACCTAAAATTTCGGCGATGTCCCCAATCTCTAGAAACATTACCCCCACACACACAGCAACCTACAAAAATTGGCCAAGTCCTAATTGTACAGACATTCCTCCTACACACCCCACAAAAATTGACAAATATCGGCAAAGTCCTATGGTAGACATTCCCCCCCCCCCTACACCCGCAACAACCCACAAATAATCGGCTTAGTCCTAGTAGCCAGAGTAGCACTCTCCTCAAATTTTTTTTGTCTAAGTCCTGTTGTACAGACAGACATTCCCCCTCCCATACTCTCGCAGACATCCCCCTCGATGTCAATCCCCCACTCATCTCCATTTTGATCCTCGTGCCCCCTCCGTTTCGCCTCCCCGCTCAGTTTAGCCAAACTGATGTTTTCTAGCAGCATTGGTTCATTTCGGAATTTCCCCCAGGCCCCCAATTCCCAAAAAAAAATCCACCAAATTTTGACGGTCACGATCGAACGCGATCGTTTCGACGTTTCTCAGCGGTTCATCGTTGGTCAGCCATTAACGGCTCAGATTTGCGCGACCTGAGCTAGTTTTTTTGCTAGCTCACACGATTTGGGCCCATCTGGAAAAGCCCCTGTAAAACCAGAGCCGAGCCAAACATAACCCCGGCTTCCAGCAAGGCAGTTCTCGAATGTACCGGGCTTTGAGAGGTGTGGGGCGAGATTTGGGGGAGGGAATTGGGGAGGGCGGCGATTTTGGGCGGGGGCACACCTAACTAACAATCCACAAAAATTAGCTAAGTCTTGATAGGCAGTGATAGCACAAAAAGAAATTCACTTTTGTTATTGCCCGTGTGGTCAAATGAAAGTCCATCAACTTCGACGGCCACGATGAATCGCGAACGTTTCGACAATTTTCAGCCGTTAGATGATCGCGTATGATTAACGTACTCAATTCGCCCATAGCGCTGCAAGCGCGGGAGGTTTCTGCCACTGCCCCATTCGCCTCGATCCCCCCCTCTCCCTCCGTTTCGCTTCCCCCCTCCCCTCCGTTTCGATACCCCCTTCCCCTCCATTTCGCTTCTCCCATTCCTCACTACTGTATTTCGACCCCCCACCCTTTCCCTCCCCCTTTCGCTTCCTCCCTTCCCCTATGTTTCCATACTCCCCCTTCCCCCCCGTTTCGCTCTCCCCCTCCCCTCGGTTTGATTCCCTCCCGTTTTCCCCCCCATTTTTAATTCCCCCCTCGTGTTGAAGGCAACCCTAAACGCGCTCGGTGAACCCTGGGATTTTCAGGGTTCCATATTTATGAACACTTACAAATCAGGGTATGCATTTTTTGAAAACCGAGCCCTCAGGGTAATTTTTTTTTTTTCTAGTCGACAGCTTAGGGGGGATTTATTTGAAACGCCAGGCCTGTTTCTGACACACACCCCCTCGCTGGGATAGCGTGTACACCAGGAATTGGACCCTGGATCGCTTTGATACCAGGTCATAAGGTCACGAGTCCTAACCACAGGATCAAGAAGAGATGTCCTCAACAGAGTTATGCTCCATATTGTTAAAGTAAGAACTGAATAATGAACTAGAAGGAGAAACCTAGAACAAATACTAGTTGGTTGTACTCACTAGAAGCATACCCCAATCTAGCCTATAACTTCTACATAGCTAATATGTACAAGTTGACACACCCCCTAGGCTAGACAAGGGGTGAAGCTAAGCAAAAAGCAAACAGCTCAGGGTGGCACTACTAGTCCAACCACTGAGGCAGGGGTCTGGAGACCAGTCAGCAAGAGTACAAACAAGACTAAAGCAAGCCAGGGCGGCACTACTAGTCCAGCCACTGGAGGTAAGGCCACAAGGCCAGTCTGACAGGTATATATAATAGAGAGTACACAATCAGGATCCTAACATGTGAGTAGCTACAGGAACAAGACCAAGGTGTACACAGTGCCGCTGATGATCTTTAGGCGCAAGCGCCTTAGTAAAGATATCAGCTGTGTTGGCACCTGAGGCCAGGTGAACTGCGCGAGCCTAGCGGCGCTGCTGTAACTCGCGCAGGAGGAAGTATCGCAGCTGGATATGCTTCGCTCTGCCCTCAAGCCGAGGCTCCGGACACAGGAGTATCATGGCCCTGTTGTCAGCGTACAGGACCGGGGCAGAGCTAGGCCGCTCACCTAAGTCTGTGAGCAAGAAGGTTTAGCCAGCGGAGCTCCTGTGCCGCCATGGCACCAGCGTAGATCTCAGCCTCACAGCTGGGCTGAGCCACAGGCGGGGGAAATGCGTCGACGTAAGTGCCGGTGGACCTCCAAGATGCCATCTCCTGCTCCATGGCAGCTATCCACTGAGAGGCCCAAGGGTGAGGTCACCCGGGTGCTGGCTAAGGAAGTGATCGCGAGCACTAGCGAGGCGGTCTGGCAGGCGCATGGCGATAAAGTAGAGCGTCATGCAAAAAGGGGGGGGGAGTGCAGTGAGCTGGGCAGCAGTGCTGGCAGTGCGATAGCGGGTCTCTAGGGCACGCAGGTGAGTGGCAAAGTCTGCGACGGTAGGGAAGGCTGCAAGGTCTGGGAACAGCATCGGGAAGAGCAAGCGGCCAGCAGAAGCAGACGCGGGTGTGGAATAGCGAGCAATAACGGCGTCTAAGTAAGCTTTGGCCATCTCAACAGTAGCAAAACGCGAGCGCTCAGACACAGGGAGGGCGTGGCTAATAGCAACCTGAGCAATTGCATCGCGGGAGTCCTAGACCGCACAGGCAAGCGCAGCAGTAGAGAAGGTCTCACGGTCATCAGAGGAGGGGTCAGCAGGGAGGGGAGCAGGTGCGGGGGGGCGGGGGAGCAAGCCATCGACATGGACAACCAAAGAGTGGCCATCCTGGCGCTGACTTGTAAGAAGGCGGCGGAGATCGGAGAGCCAGGCGGCGAAGTCAACCGCATGGCCCTCGGCGTCCAGTCGGAGCACGAAGTCAGCCATCGTGCAGGGTCAGCGGCACAGCTCCACAGCTCCGCAGGGACACAGCGACGCAGGGACACGGCGGCAGCACTCTCCAGCACGACGGCCGTGAGGCGCCCCAGCGCTGACGAGCAGAGTAGACGGAGCTCGAGGTGGCACGGCAGGCCGAGTAGGCACGAAGAGGGGCCGGGCGGGCAGTGGGAGAGGCCAGGCAGACGTGGCGGGGCCAGGCAGGCGCGACGGGGCCAGGGAGGCGCGGCAGGGCCCGGCGGGCGTGGCGGGGCCAGGCAGGCGCGGCGGGGCCAGGCAGGCGCAGAGGGGCCAGGCAGGCGCGGCGGGGCCAGGCAGGCGTGGCGGGGCCAGGCAGGCGCGGAGGGGCCAGGCAGGCGCGGCGGGGCCAGGCAGGCGCGGCGGGGCCAAGGAGGCGCGGCGGGGCCAGGGAGGCGCGGCAGGGCGCGGCGGGGCCAGGCAGGCGCGGCGGGGCCAGGCAGGCGCAGAGGGGCCAGGCAGGCGTGGCGGGGCTAGGCAGGCGTGGCGGGGCCAGGCAGGCGCAGAGGGGCCAGGCAGGCGCGGCGGGGCCAGGCAGGCGCGGCGGGGCCAAGGAGGCGCGGCGGGGCCAGGGAGGCGCGGCAGGGCCCGGCGGGCGCGGCGGGGCCAGGCAGGCGCGGCGGGGCCAGGCAGGCGCAGAGGGGCCAGGCAGGCGGGGCGGGGCCAGGCAGGCGCGGCGGGGCCAGGCAGGCGCGGAGGGGCCAGGCAGGCGCGGCGGGGCCAGGCAGGCGCGGCGGGGCCAGGCAGGCGCGGCAGGGCCAGGCAAGCGCGGAGGGGCCAGGCAGGCGCGACGGGGCCAGGCAGGACGCGACAGGGCCAGGCGGGCGCGACGAGGCCAAGCAGGGCGCGACGGGGCCGGAGCGGGCGCGACTGAGCCTAGGAGGTACGACGGGGCCCAGGAGGGGCGCGACGGGGCTAGGAGGCGCGGCGGGGCCCAGGAGGGGCGCGACGGGGCTAGGAGGCACGACGTGGCCTAGGAGGGGCGCGACGGGGCTAGGAGGCGCGGCGGGGCCCAGGAGGGGCGCGACGGGGCTAGGAGGCACGACGGGGCCCAGGAGGGGCGCGACGGGGCTAGGAGGCGCGACAGGGCCCAGGAGGGGCACGACGGGGCTAGGAGGCGCGATGGGGCCTAGCTAGGGTACGGGCGGAAGCGGTAGGTGGGGGATGCTAACCTACGCGTGATACCATGTTAAAGTAAGAACTGAATAATGAACTAGAAGGAGAAACCTAGAACAAATACTAGTTGGTTGTACTCACTAGAAGCATACCCCAATCTAGGCTATAATTTCTACATAGCTAATATGTACAAGTTGACACATCTATCCATCTTTCCCAAGGAAAGCCTCCCTAACACCCTCCCTAGAGAGAAGAGGTTCGACAGGGCTATCCCAATGCCACGACAGTGTGTTCCTACAGTCCCCTACCAAACACACCAAATTGAACCGCCTAGAACCAACTTGCGTTAATTCTGCACTGCACAAGGTCATGCACAACTGGTAAGAAGTGCAGGAACTCACATAGTCCACAAGCATATGGAAGTCCGTAGCCAATACGGAGACAGACGTGACACGTCTCAAATCTACAAGGAAAGCAGTTCACAAGTGCCTTCATTCGTGGAATTAAAATGCGCCATCATTGCATACATATACCAGAGGGATACCCCATTTTCAGACTCTATTGCACCCCCTCAACGCTGCACTCCCCTTGTAACACGCGACCTCACCTCACCAGCCAAGCAAGGCCCTCTAATACCTCCTGCACTAGCCTACCAGGCTACTTACCACCCAAGCGAGCATAGTTACCCACACAAGGTAAGGCCCCTAGTATCTGCTGCATGCTTTGCTGCAGAACCTGGTCTAGTTGGACTGCCCCCCTCCCCCTCCCCTTCCTCCTGCTCCCCCTTATGGTGCTCCCTTCCTCTTTTCCCTAGTGACCCTACCCTCCTCCCCTCCCCTGTGCTCCTCCCCTCCCCCGTGCTCCTCCCCTCCCCCGTGCTCCTCCCCACTCCCTCGCTCCCTTCTGTATGAACGTCCATTGCTGCTGCAGCAGTGGTGGTTGGACCAGCAGCAGCAGCAGCAGCAGCAGCAGCAGCAGCAGCAGCAGCAGCAGAAGCAGCAGGACCACTGGCAGTGGCACTGTCTCTAGCAGCAGCACCGCCACCAGCAGCACCAGCATCAGAAATGTCGTCATCACCACCCATGGTAGCAGCAGCAGCGGCACCAGTAGCAGAAGGAGCACCAGTGGCACCAGCACCACCAGTGGCACCAGCACCAGCAGCAGCACCAGTGGCACCAGCACCACCAGCAGCACCAGTGGCACCAGCAGCAGCAGCAGCATCAGCAGCACCAGTGGCAGCAGCAGCAGCATCACTGCCTACAGTGGTTCCTCCTCTTCCTTGCATACCAGCAACGTTTAGATCCATCCCTCTGCTCCTCATCCCTCCAGTCCCCTCCCCACCAACTCTCCCCACCCCACTCACTCCTCCAACCCCCTCTCTTCCCCTTCCACTCACATCCCTCTCCACCCTCCTCCCCTCTACCTTCCCCTCCTCTCTCCTCCCCTCCTCTCTCCTCCGCTCCTCCCTCCCCACCCCTCCCTCTCCCCGTCCCTCTTCCCCCCCTCCCCCCCCTCCCCCACCTCTCCCCCCCTTCCCTTCCAGCTCTTTCTTAAGCCTATCAATCTCCCCCTTGGCCGCGCGGTTCTGCTGCTGCAGCTGCAGCACTCGTCCCGTCAGCACAACCACCTGGTTCTCCATCCTTTGCAGTTGCGGCTGCACCCACCCGCCCGCACCCCCCCCGCCGCCCCTCTGCTCCCTATACTTCACCGTGTTTTCAAGTCGGACCACCCTTGATTGTAGCTCCTGATTCTGCTCCTTAAGCTCCCAGGACTGAACCTGTATGCGGACTATCTCCTCTTCTAAGATTCGATTTCTCTGCACCGCCTTTGCAAGTGCTTCGCTCTCGAAATCCAGACTCTCAGCAAGCCTGGTTTCTCCCTCTCTCAATCCCTCTCGTCCCTCCCTTCCATCTCTATCTCCCCTTCTATCCCCCCCCCATGCCCCCCTCTATCTCCCTCCCCGTAACCCCCTCTCCGCGCTCTATCTCCCCCTCTCCCCTCTCTCCTGTCAGTGTCACTCGGCTGTGAGGCACCCAGTCCGAATATCAGACCTAGACTCGTGCTCATGTCCGGTTGAGGCCCCAGTGCGGCAGAATCTCCTCCCACCGCCCCTCCTCCCACCGCCCCTCCTCCCATCGCCGCTCCTCCCATCGCCGCTCCTCCCATCGCCGCTCCTCCCACCGCCCCTCCTCCCATCGCCGCTCCTCCCACCGCCGCTCCTCCCATCGCCCCTCCTCCCATCGCCCCTCCCATCGCCCCTCCTCCTAATGTGGCCCTTCGTAGTGCGCCTCCCCCCAAGGTGCCTCCTCCCAGAGTGCTTCCTCCAAATAGGGTGCCCCCCCCCAAGGTGCTTCCTCCTAATAATGTATCGTCAGCATCACCACCACCACCACCAGCACCACCAGCAGCAGCACCAGCAGCAGCACCAGCAGCACCACCAGCAGCAGCACCACCAGCACCAGCAGCACCACCAGCAGCACCATCAGCACCACCGTCAGCATCAGCAGCACAACCGCCACTCCTAGTACCACCGCCCAAAGGGGCAAGGAAGCCCCTGAGAGGGCTATGCGTCCTCGACAGTGGAAACATCTGAGCCTCCCTCAGTAAAACCCTGCCAGTACCGCCTCCCCCAGAAATTCCCGCCCTTGCTGAGAACCCTGGCTCCATTCCCGGACTTGCCACTTTGGTCCGGGCAGCTCCAGCAGGCCCCGAACCAAGTGCCGAGCCTCCCATGCCCAGCCCATCCCCCAAACCCCCGAGGGAGCCTGCGCCTTCTCCTCCCCCATCTCCCTCCTCTGGCCCCTCATGCCTCCCCCGCACTCCCATGATCTCCCTTGCCGCTCCCCCTGTGTTGGATTCTTCCCCTTGTGGTCCTACTCCACCTGCCTCCGCTGCTGCTGCTGGTGCTGCTGGTGCTGCTAGTGCGGACAGTGGTGCTGCTGGTGCTGCTGTTGTTGCGGGTGCTGCTGGTGCTGCTGGTGCTGCTGGTGCTGCTGGTGCTGCTGGTGCTGCTGGTGCTGCTGGTGCTGCTGTTGTTGCAGCTGCAGAGCCTGTGCCGCCGAGGGATGCTACCGAGCGGTTGACGGATAGAGCACGCACAAACGCTGCATCCAGATGCTCTAGATGCTGCTGCTGCTGCTGGTGCTGGTGCTGGTGCTGGTGCTGGTGCTGGTGCTGGTGCTGCTTCTCGTTGTTGTCGCTCCCTTTCTCAGCAGCAGTGGAGGCGGCAGCAGCTGTAGAGACAACGCCAGGTATCCCAGAGGCGGCAGGAGCAGCAGCAGCAGTAGGGGGAGCAGAAGGAGGAGAGAGAGGAAAAGGAGAAGAAGCAGCGACAGGAGCAGAGGGAGCAAGGGCGGTTACAGAAGCAAGCTGGGCGAATGATGACGGCGTGCGGTGATACGCCCACCCGCGACTGGCGGAAGGGCTCCTTCCCCTCTGCATGTTTGTAAAGTGCCCATCTCTTCCCCATCCCCCTCCTTCTCCTCCCCTTGCCCCTCCAACTCCCAATCCTCCTCCTCCTCCTTCGGATCTCTCTTCTCTTCCTCCTCTTCCCCCTTGTTCCACTGTGCCTGCCCCTCCTCTCCCCCCTCCTTCCAGTCCGCCGCCTGCTCCTCCCCGTACCCCCCCTTCCATCTCGTCTGCGCCCCCCCTTCCCCCCCCTTCCATTCCGCCTGCTCCTCCCCCTCCCCCGGGGGACCCGGATGAGGGGACTTGGTGAAGGGCTCGGAGGCTTCCGGAATGCGCCTGCCCCCCGCCAAATGGCGAGCTGCGATTGGCGGAGAGGTGGCCGCACCACCAGTTAGGGAGGAGGTGGTGAGAGGAGGGGGGGAATGCGGAGGAGGGAGGGGGGAGGGGGGGAAGGGCGGAGGAGAGAGGGAGGAGGGGAAGAACGGAGGAAAGAGGGAGTGGTGGAAGGGAGGGGGAGGGACTGGTCCCTGAGATGGATACACCCGAAGACGGGAAGGCAGTGGATGCAAGTTGGGGGTGGGAGTGTGAGTGGGTGGCCTGAGGAGGGAGGTTAGGGCTGCTGCTGCTAGTGTTCTGGGGCTGGCTGTCTGCCACGTCACCCTGGATCGCACGGGATCGAGGGTCCATTTGCGTGCAACAGGGTTAATGTTGCGGGACGATCATGCGCCGCCGGCGCGTGGAAAGGTGGAAGAAAGGACGAGATCTTAGCTCGTCATGTTGCAATGAACGTGGCGTTAGTAAGCGGTACGGCGTTATGGAGGGAGAGCCACGATTAGTTGCCAGAAAACCACTTCCGGAGACAGATTAAACGAGGCTCGGATATATCCGGCGTGGATCCGAGGATCCTCGGGAAACAGTGGGGTACAGATTCGCTGCCAGCGGATCTAAAAAAGATCCTGTGTGGATCGCTGGCAGTGACGTCCGATCCTGAGGTCCTTGCAAGAGATTTGCAACTTCACGTTGAAACTTGCGAAAAGGCGAAGTCTGTCACTGGGAACAAATCTCGATAAAAAAGGCGAATGCAGCCTTGACGGCCACCGCGGCTAGCTGCTAGGGTCGGACGCCGGAGCTCCGCAGAGCCACGCTGTAGATGACGCACACTGTTGCAGATATGTCCAGTTTGAGGAGTTAAGGATGTCTCAGATCAGCTCCAAGTATGTCTCAGATCGGTCTTGAATATCTCGGTCTTTGCCTTCAACTCCAAGTTAGAGTAAAGCACTGTTTAACGCTAGGTTTTAAGTCGTGCTTCAAGCTGCTGCGGAACTCCCTGCGTTCGTGATGCTAGTAGAAAGGCTGCTCAAAGCTACTTAGGGACAGGCAGGCAAAAGGGTAAGGGTGAACAGACTTTGATCTACAGACAGTGTGAAGAGACTTGGATCTACACACTGAGTGCACCTGAGAAAGCTGTGTCTTGGTGTTGAGATGTGATATTACCAGCTGAGAGGTTGAGAGCGAGAGAAAGAGGAGACATGAGTGGTCTTCATGTGTACACTAGCTTCCTTTGTCTCTTATCTGATGTACACGCCCAGACTAGGTTTGAGTGGATAGGAGGAGGATAGGACTGAAGAAATCGGGAGCAGGGCTATTTTTTCGTTTTTTTTTTTTTTTTTTTTTTTCCATTGAAGGCCCAGCGGTCTCAGGATTCGCGTCACTAAAGACCCTGAAAATTCGACATTCCCTGGAAACTATCTCTTTATTCCAGGATTACTTTGACCTTTCAATTTGAAATTCAGAGTGTTTTTTGGGACTCCTTACATATCAGCGGAACCTGTGGGCACTTCGAGTACAAGCAGGAAGGACATCGATGGAAGAAACGATGAAGAATACAGAACACACACTTGCTGCTACTGCTGTCCCTCACCACCACACCAAGTTCGACACTTTCCTTGTCAATCGCGACAGAAATGCGTATAGCTTAGAGGGGCAGTGCGCAACCTGGCTAAGGTGATAAGTCTGACAGCCCTGCACTTATGTAGTGAAAGTTCCACGGGTCGCACCTTCAGATTGCGTGGAAATTTGGCCAGGGTTGCGAAGGAATTGGGGGTGGTTTGGGGGGGGGGGGTAGGGATGCAATTCCAGCACGGGCGAGTTCCCATGCCAGTCGGATGGCCAGGATAATTTTTCGTGCAATCCGGATTGCTCAGGGAGTTCCTTGGAAACGCCCGGAATCAGTCAGGAGTTTTGTGAATACAAAACCCTCAAAATCAGGATTTCAGCGAGAAAGACCCGGAATGTCCCTGACATTCCGTATGTTTACCCTTGAACCGAGAGCCTGGCGGAGGGAAGAAAGGAGGAGCCAGTGGTTTCGGAAATTCGGAGTGCATTTGGAGTGCTACAGACCAAACGACAATCATCACGGGTTTCCTGTCCTCCCCGAAATTAGGGATTTCGCCGAACACGAATTTCGTATAGCGTGCCCGTGGAGGATTGTGAAGGGAATCCAGCTGTATTGAAAGAGCATGTCCGATGCAAATAACATTGTCTGTGCTATTTTTGGTGGCTTGGGCATCAGACGAGAAGGAAAATAACCAACAGTCGCTAGATTTTTTCACGGCCGTTGGCACGCTTGTAACGAAAGGTGCCATTGGCAGGAAAGTCTATCAGGGGTAGATACAGATGGTAGCCTCTAGATCCGGATTCCTTCCAGAAGCCCAACTCCATGGATTTCGTTTCGATCATTCATTCACTCCCGTGACACACCATTTGAGTTTCTAGATTCCCCAGCACGAAGGAAAGTCCAAAACCACATCACGCCTTACAGCCCACGGTCACTTGCTTGTACAGGTCAGGTCATCATTGTACAATCTGGTGCTTGGGGCCACAGATTCTGCTAAACGAACGGCTGAAACTGTTGATGGGAGTGAGTCAGGGCAGGGAGACATCCCTTCGAAAATCTCAGGGATGAACTAGGGTGACAAAATAAGTGTACACCTAGATCGCGACATTTTCACAAACTGGAAACTTTCGAGTAAAACACGCCCAGCACGGCTTTAGGCTAGGGGTGATGGAAACCCCAAATGACCGTGTCTAATTTTACACGCAGAGTAGGGCGGAATCGAAGAGCACACACCTCGCACTGAAACAAATATGCTGTGAGGGCATGGAACATGGGTTGCACAACCCATCGGGTTACACAACTCGTTAAACCTCGCATTGTCAGTTCGCGAGGACATTGAGTGGGTTGCGCAACCCACTGTGTTTTGTGCGTACGCACGAAATCGCAACCCGAGTTGCGCAACCCATGTGTGTGCTATGCTGCCCGGTCCAAAATTTTGGCTGCACGAAACCAACTGGGGTTGCACAACAAATAAGCATGCCACATACTTCGCTGAACCCCGGTGGTGGGTTCTGTTGCGCAAAAGGTATTGTTTTGGTGAAATATTATAGGGTGTTGGTGTATCGCGTGATGCTTGTGCAAAATTTCTGATTTGGAAGAGCAACCTGATATACCATCCCGGTTGTAGAACCCTCGGTGGTTGCGTAAACCGATGTTCCAGCATCGAATTACGTGACTTTCGCGAGAAGCGCAATCCAGGTTGCGCGAGAAGCGCAATCCGGGTCCGAATATCAGACCTAGACTTACGCTTACTTAGTGTGAAATATATTTCGAGAAGAAGCGAGCTTTGCGAAGTTGGTCGATCAGTTCGTCGGCGCGACGGATGCGGTAACGTGACTTGATAGTCACCCTATTTAGTGCCCTGTAATTAGTACACATGCGGTACCCGTCGTCCTTCTTCGGTGTGAACAGTATTTGGGCGCGAACGGGGACGAACTTGGGCGGATGATTTTTTTCTCCTGTAGTAATCTTGCTGCTTCCGTAATTCCTCTGACTCCGGCTGTGTCAGTCAAAGCTGGCGCTAAACTGTGGGCGGTGTCCTTGGTTCTAATTCTATTTGATAGTCGAAGGGCCTTTTCGGCGGTAGTCCCTCGGGTAGGTCATCTGGAAAAATCTGCGGAAATCTTCAAATCAGCTACGCAAGGTCGGCCGACACTGCTGCTGTCAGCTTCTCTAAATCGGACGGTTGCAATGCCATGTCAATCTCGCGAACGACTACATCAAAGACTTTTACGCCACGTGCGACCACTCGCTTGATCACCACGGTGTTCACCAACGCCACTCCCACTGTGATCCCCTTCGTCCATTCTGGTAATACTACCCACGACCGCTGGTAATATTACCGTCACAGCTAATCCCGTCCCAGCAGCATGTCGAAACCGTCGAATGTAGTTGCCAGTATCCCCATTGAAGAAATTGAAGTCAGCTCAACAGTGTACCCTAATTTTTTCCGCTCTGTCTTTTATTGCTAGCGGGGTCCCGTCAACAAGTCGGGCATCGGTCTCCGGTAGGCACCTATCAAAGGGTACCCCTTTTTTTTCCCTTTTTTTTTTTTTTTTTTTTTTTTGGTCGTGGTGAGGTTGCCTAGATAGTGGTTGGCTCCTTCGTCGAAGAAGATTTTATTTTTTTCCCCTTGAACGCTACCCTCTAAATAAATGGGGTCATCCGCCGCTGCCCCCTCAAATATGTAATTTCTGTAATTTGTATTTCTCTGCGCAGATCCAGTCGAAGTCTCCCGATCTATCTGCCAAACTTCTCATCAGGGTGAATGTATATGACCTGGTTGCATAGATTTATTAAGCTACTGGTGTAGTCCTGGACCGATTTGAGTTGGCGCCACGTGCGAAGGCAGTCGCGCGCTTGACTGTTTGCGTTGACGTGTTCGAACATCAGACTAGGTGTACACATTTATGTAATTTATCAGACCGTCTGTTTTTTTTCGTCTGATACCGACAAATCCGCCCTTCTAGCAGCAGGGCCACTAGTCCACATGCCCACTGGGCCACTGCCTGCCATCCAGTCCCATGTGCACCGCATCGCGCGCATTCAATTCTGCACGGAGCGCGGCAGCAAAACAGTCCAGCGCACATAAATTTACAGCTTGCTGACGCAAGCTGTTGCCACGCCACTGTCTTGTTACGGGCACCGTCGCTGCTAGCCAGGTTCCAGGCAAGCAGCGCTGGGCAGCAATGTGCCAGCGCATTTCTCGATGAAACCGCAAGCCACCCTCGTCGTGCCATCACGACGAGGGTTTTGTATTGAATCTGGAACCCCAAGCCGCTCTTCGTGGAGCAGTCATGGTGTATAATCAGCCCACAGAAGCCCCCAACCTTAGACCACCACGTCTAAGAAAACCGCTCTCTGTGGTTTTTTTTTTTTTTTTTTTTTTTTTTTTTTTGGGCTTTAAGGAGATCCCAGGAGGAAACCAGGCCCCTTTCCCACGCCGATCCACCTGCGAGCCCCGGGGGGAGACCCCCTAGCGCCCGAGGCTTCACCCGTGTTGCGGAGGGTAGGCGGTCCGGGGTGCTCTGTGGCGCTCTCTGTGGTGTCCTTGTCCTCCCCTCGTCTTCATTCTTGGCTGGCTCTCCCACCTAGTTCTTGCTCATATCGTGTGTCTCATCTCATGGCCTTAGAGGAGGTTAATGCTATCCCTCCTAAAGATGTTGGATCGACGGTTACGGGACTAGACCTACTTCGGTCCCGACCCGCGCTGCCTCCCCTCAGCACTGAGCCGCATCAGAGGCGTATGCCCGTCGAGCCTACTCCGCCTGTCGAACCCCCACCGCCTCCTTCCGCTACTCGACATACGACTAGTCGTCCAGAGGCTAGTCCTTGTATGAGTAACAAGAAGGCGCTGAGTTCTCCACCCTCGGCTCGTTCTCCCTCCGCTAGTCCGCCTCCCGCGGGGCGTGCACGATCGTGTAGCCCGTCTCTTGCCACCTGCTCGCCCGTGCTTAGTCCTCCCCCTACAGTGGCTCCTCTGAGCCCACTGCCTCCGTTGGACACAGAGCCATGGATCATCTTTGGTGCTGAAGGCTCCAAGCTCGACTTTGCTACTAGGCTGCCCGTCCATCGTCACCTGCAAGGCAAACCGTCTGTGCCATCCTTCCATCACGCGTCTCTGGAGGGCCCGTCTTGCCCATCCGCAAGCCTGGCAAGGCAAAGTACATCCAGCGCAAAATCAGCTTCGGTCGGCATGCCTGCACCTCCACTGTGGCTACTCCTATCCAGCTCGGCAGCAGCAGCGGCGATCCTGGTCCCAGCTCCCCGCAGTCCGACGACGACGGGCCATTCTTCCTCATGGTGGAAGAGCTCCAACTCAAAGCAAGGGAGCAGTGGTTAGGTCACTTTCCATGGTTGGTGATTTCCAAGACGAAGGAGGATCGCCCCTGCATGAAGTGCAGCGTCTGCATGGCGTTTGGCGACACCCCCGATTATCAGTACGGCCGCAACGGTGAGGGCGGCATCGACATTCAGAAGCAAACAATGCGTAAGCATCATCAGAGTCTTAAGCATGAGGCTACCATGGCAAAGAAATTGCAGCGCAACGGGAAGATGAAGAAGCATACAGT